ATTTTCATTTATGTGGAAGCCAACGCCCTTGGGATCACCGTCGGCATCGTGATTCTTCTTCCTTTTTTCTGGCTGTGACAACCAGTAACCGTTGGGTCACCGACAACTTTGTAGTTCACTTCTGAATATTTGTACGTGGATATATTCATTTGGGTTACTTAGAAATGCAAACTGTCATTCCGTTAAATTGGCCCTTAATTGAATAATATTACAGCACTTGACACCTTCCTTCTCTTTCACTACATCATTATTAAAACCTCAGTTGTGAGTCAGCGCTCTTTCCTTCCTGTTGTCTCTTCCTTACGTAACTTATTTGCGCTGTTTAAGTGAAAAAGTGTCATTGGCAGCATGTTTTCGGCGGCGAGGCGTCGCCGTCTCGTCAATTCGACTTTTTCTTTAATAGAGCTTTTTATTTCGCCCGAAAGGCTGTATCGGGAACACCGCGATGCATTCGAGCTCCCGGAGGAGATCTTTCGGAAGCAATACCGCCTGCACAAGATCGTGGTGCGGTGGTTGTGCGACGAACTTCGCGAGGAACCGGAGGTGAGGAGAGTGCGTACCTCGTGGACGGTCGTGACTGTGGAGCTTCAAGTGTAGTGTGCACTGCGCTTCTACGGCACGGGGAGCTTCCAAGGCATGGTGGCGAGCGACGAACACGTAGCACGGGACCAAAAGACAGTCAGCGTTGCGGTCCGCGCCGTGTGCGTCGCTATCGTGCGTCGTCTCGGGGTCCAGCGTGGCTGGATCCACTTCCCCGAGACGCCGAGCGAGAGGTTCGACGCGGAGAAGGGCTTCAGGCTGCTCGGCAGGATACCCGGCGTCATCGGTTGCGTGGACGGGACCATGGTCTCCATCGGCGGCCCGTCCAAGAACGACCCCACCGTCACGAAGGCGGCGTACTGGTGCCGCAAGTACTTCTACGCCCTCAACGTGATGGTGGTAAGTACACTCATGTTACGTTGTCAAAACGCGCCCCAAATCTGTAGAAAAAAAAAAGTATTGCCGATACGGTTTAAGCATGCCGTTTTATGACTGCGGGCTGTGGGGTCTCACGACAGCGCGAGCGTGTGCTGTACGTAGCATGTGAGCCGTGAGACGCTTCTCCCAAAAATAATATTTGTCTGTTAAAACGTGCAAGCTTCCGTAAAAAAAAAAACACATTATTTTTGTTTCAAGGTAGTTAGTTGTACCTTGCATCCAGGAAGGTGTGTTGACATGCATGTGTCAGACAAAATAACTTAAAAGGTTCTGAAATTGCGACTGATTTGTGAACCATAAGTACAATCTACTACTTGTGGATGCAGGTAATTACATGTCAATCTCTCTCTCACTTTCAGGTGTGTGACGCACACTGCCGGATAATGTGCATCGACCCACGGTATCCCGGGTCGGTGCACGACTCCTTCGTGTGGCAATTTTCCTGGCTCCGAAACCAACTCGAGCAAGGGCAGCTGCCACGCGACGGCCAGTACCTGCTTGGTGAGCATACTAAATTCATTCCTTACGCACACGGTGGCTCCCACTGCTTGAAAGCCACAGTACCACACGTACTGTGCTTGTTGTGAGGCACACAGACACAGTTGCTGGAACTCCTTGAAGTGAGACAACACCCAAAGTTTGGCCATTAATCTCTGTTTATGTCCACATAACTCTCACACTCTGCAGGCTACGAAAGCCACACTACACCAATCTCACGACAGTGATAGACTATGCAAGGCATGCGACCGCAGTGCGAGTCGCTGTCCGGTTCGGCCCACTCACTGTTACTGTCTGCCTGTACCCTCTTGCTGGTTGGTTTTGGCATGAAGTTGGAGCTCTTTCACAGATACCTGGGGGCTCGCCTGGTCGCTTTGACGGTCGTCAGTTTGTACGGAATGGGATCAATTCCTCCTTGGCCACTTGGGGCTCGCCAAATCTGTCCTCGGGTCGTCTCTGTCCCACACACTGGATTCTTTTCCCTGACCCTTCTTCTTCGGTCTGCCTATATAGCTCCTCCTATTAGACCGTCCGTGTCCCAACAGGACCTGACTCCTTTCCAATGTAACCACCCCCTCTCTTTTTCCCATCTCCAACTCCACCGAGGATTAGGAAAGAGGTTCGTCGAACTGGCGCCTTATCCCGTTGCTTTCCAAAGACAAGGCCAGCGTGTTCTGCTCTGCCCGTGCCTAAGGTCACGGCCACACTCCCAAAAGCAACAAAGCTTTTATCTGTCGGATGCAAGGGCCTAATAATGCACTTGCATACAACACAGCACCCCTAAGGAATCGTGCACACATCCCGTACAACGCACCAGGAAATAATAATAATAATAATAATAATAATGTGTTTTATTCCCTTTACAAATACATACAAATAATGCTGGCCTACAAAAGCAGTATTCTGCTTGTGCGTAGGACCAGACAATCCAGCGAAATACATATTAATACATCATGATAAAAAAAAAAAATCAAACGAGTGCAATAAAAAAAAAAAATCGAACGAGTGCAATGTGGCCATTGATACCAACATTAATACAAAACAAAGCAGCAATTCGGCACAAAACAAAATGAACACAACTATCGAAATCATCAAGAGGCAAGTATACAGTGATGGGAGTAAAGCAGTGTTTATGGAGGTAATGAGAGGCACCAGTTTTTTATTTCTTTTTTTAGTACTTTTATCGAATTTATTTTCATTAAAGGCTCAGTGAGCTCATTAAATAAAGTGGGAATAAAGTGAGCTCTGCATCTTTTTCCGTATCGCGTGTAAATTCTGGGGATTATAAACCTTTCTTTGCGCCTTAGGTCCCTAGGCTTGTCCACTGGAACCTTGAACGTTGCATCGTAGTAATAATTTATAAACGTAACGTATCTACGAAAATTTTTAAAGAATAAAATTTGGAGCTTCTTTGCTTTATCTTCCATATCTAATGTTCCGTATGTAGTTCCGTATGTGATGTTTTTAACCATATGTTTTAAAATTCTGTTTATTGCATTTGTCTTGTATGGAGAACAGTGACCATATAAAGTGATTCCATATCGTAGAATTGATTCAGCTAACGACCTGTACACCAGTAGTCTTATCTTTACGCTGCACAAGCTTCTTATTCTGTACAGATATGCTGAAACGGCACGTAGTCTTTTAGTCACAAATTCCACATGTTGATTCCATGATAAATGTTCGTCGACGTATAATCCTAGATATTTTACACAATTATCGTATGGCAAAGGTTTACAAGTACAATTATTACACGGTGTCGAATGAAGTAAAATTTTAGGTGACATATCAATACGTTTATGAGAATTTCGGAAACACAGTAACTTAGTTTTGGCAAAATTAACGGAAATGGCATTTGAGTTAAACCAACCTATTAGTTCATTTATATCTCTTTGGAAGACTAAAACAGCATCATCATAGTTTTCATAAGGTAAAACTAGCACCGTATCGTCAGCATACTGAAATAGCTTAGATCGTAGAGGTAGAATACCCAAATCATTTATGTAAACGTTAAATAAAATTGGTCCCAGAGTGCTACCTTGTGGTACACCACATTCGACTTTAACTGTACTACTTATATTATTGATAATTTTAACCATTTGTTGTCTGTCGTTAAAGTAATTCTGAAAAAAGTTATAAAACTGTCCCCTGAAGCCCAGTCTGTAAAGCTTTTCAAGTAACAGAGAATGATCAATGGTATCAAAAGCCTTCGATAGATCTATAAAAAGTGCCAGGGCAATCTTGTTATTGTCTAGTGCTTGATTAACACAGTCAGAAAAATCTTCTAAAAGTGTAATAGTACTTTTTTGTTGTCGAAAACCATATTGCGTACTAGAAAATAAATTAAATTTATCACAAAAATTGGTCATTGTTAGTTGTACCCACTTCTCGATTATATGAGCTAATGTAGGCAGAATGGAAATGGGCCTGTAGCTCTCCAATTCCTGTTTTTTACCCTTTTTATACAGTGGACGTATAATAGATATCTTCAAGCCCATAGGAATTCTTCCGGTATGAAAGGTGTCATTAATTATTTTCATTAAAACGTGTTTTAATTTATCAAAATTATACCGAATATCTCGTACTCTAATATTATCAAATCCTGGTGTTTTAGTTATTGACATAGCATTTATAATCCTCAAAAGTTCGCTCTCCGTCATCTGAGGTAAGTACGCCGAACTAGAGCATCTGACCTGTGAAGTGACGGGATTGGGACCATTCAGTGAAATGTTATTTTTTATGCTTCTTACGGAGTCAACAAAACACTTATTAAATGATTCCGATAACGTTAAATAAGAATCTAATCCAGGAAAGTTTTTTTTAATTGTATCATCCACGCTATTTTTAGGCTTTCTACCAGTTAATTGGTTTACTAGGTTCCATGTCTTTTTTATATTTCTTCTCGAAGAGGTGAATTGATCTAAGTAATGTTTCCCTTTTTCTAAACGTATTTTTGCTGTCACTTTATTGCGCACTGCACGAAATTCATTTCTTAGTTCTGTGTTTTCGGGATTTTGCTTACATCTGCTCCAAAGCCTTTCCTTTTGATCACACAATTCTAATATTTCCTCGTTTATCCAAACATTCTCAGGTTTTCGTTTCTTCAACTTTATTTTTCTAGCACCTTTAGAATAAATATCTTGAAACGTGTCCACTAGTTTGTCATAGGCTACAATATGATCGAACTCGCATAAAGAATTCCAATCGAACGATTGTATTAAATTATCGATTTTTTTAGCATCTAGTATAACTTTGTACCCATTTTCTAAATCTACATTTTCAGCAGTAAGTTCGCCCAATATTGAAAGTACAGTAATGTAATGGTCAGCTACCTTTTGCTTAATGACTAAAGACAGTGTTTTCAAATTACTAATTCTTACAACTATGTGGTCAATACATGATTTTGTAATTTTATTACCATAATATTCCTCCCTCGTATAATTTTGAATGACATTTTCTAGACCAAATAAAGCGAGGGTATCAAGATAACGCGGTACTCCCTGTTTATTTTCATTCAGAACATCAATATTGAAGTCTCCTGCCAGAACTAGGTATTTGTTGTTATTAAATTTTTGAAGGAATTGTTCCAATTCATCACAGAATATAGGTATATTTGAACTGGGTGGCCTGTATACAGCACACACAACATAAGAAAAATTCATTTTGTGAACAATAGCAGCACACACTTCTGCTTGTACAAATGAAACATCTATTTTTTCTGATAAGCATTTGTCATTTATGTACATCATAACTCCGCCACCTTTCCTTTGTTCTCGGCACAAGCAGAAAAAATGAAAGCCTGGCAAGGAAAATGTAGCACAACCTGCCTCATCAGCACTGACCTCACTCAAAATAAGCACATCCAAACTTGGTAGTTGCGTAGATAAAATTAACATTAATTGATCCCAATGTCTGTAAATACTCCTAACATTTACATGAATTAAGCTTAGTTTAGTGTCAGCGTTACTTCCCTCCGCTCTGGAACTTTTCGTATATCCGTCCCACTCACGGAACGATTCAAAAAGCGATTCCATGGTTACCTAATTTTGATTAAGTCCCGTTCGCTCTCAATCTGAATCACTGCCGCTCCCTCCTTCTGCCTTACGAATATCTTTCCGTTCTTCATCCAAGTATACATGTATCCTTTTTCCTTCGCACGTGCCTTGGTGGACCACAACAAACTTTTCAGCGCTCTAGTCAAGTTTTCATTTATAAAGATGTTCTCATTTCTAAGAGTAGTTCTTTTTCTCACCCACAAGTCCCGTGTACGCCTCTCGGTGAATCTCACCAATATAGGTGTGATTCTTCCTTCTTTAACTTTTAGCCTGTGGGCAGCCTCGATGTCGTTCGAAGTCACTGGTGCTAGGTCCAGCTTCGTTGCCACTGTGTTGATTACGCTCATAACATCTTCATTCGGTCGTTGGACAATACCATGGATTTCAATATTCTGCCGTCTAGAGTACAGCTCTGCATTGTCGATAGCCTTTCTTAGTTCACCAACCTCTTCATCCCTTTGTGAAATCCTTCCCTCTAGTTCACCGATTTTCCGCTGTAGTTCATTTATTGTTTTGTCTTGGTTATCCAAATGAACGTTCAATTCCTCATACCTTGCTGTCAGATCATTCATGGCTGCCTCGATTCCCACTATTGTTTTACTCTGATTTTCTATTTTGAGCATCATCGCGTCGGACCTCGCAGTCTGCGCCTCGAGAGACCTCTCAATGCAAGACATCCTATTAAGGACGGAGGTCAACTTTGCACTGATAGATTCATTTTGTTTGAGTAACCTCTCAAGTTTTTCCTCATTTGGGGTCAGCTCTGACGCCCCTTGAGATGCCTCGGGAGTCGCAGACTGTCGTTGGGAATGCAACCTGCAGGTGTTGCATTGCCATTCGGAAATTTCTACGTCGTTCATTGACTTCATTACATTTTTTGTCATTCCAGAACACTTGCCCATGTGGTAATAATTTGTGCACTCCGAACACTTAATACATGCAGCATCATGTCCAATTTTTTTCAGGCAAGAAAGACAGTCACCTTTTTCAGCCATTTTCGTGAAAACGCCAAAACACATAGTTACATGATATAACAGGGAGTTTGCAGGCAAGCTGGTGCTAATTAATCATAATGTAAACTGATACTGTAGTGCAGAAATATTAACACACTTTTAAGTCACACTTAAGTTACATTATAATTGACATAGTTGGACACAGCTGTTTTCTTGCCTTTTATTTTAAAAAGTAAAGAATGCAATATGTTCCATCCTCTACATGTGCAGGTGACAGCGGCTACCCCTTGGAGCCTTGGCTCATCACCCCTGTCCCCGGGAACCACGCGACCTCCACCGCTTGCGGCCGGTTTAATAAGGCGCATTCCTCGATCAGGTCTGTTGTGGAGCGCTGCATCGGGCTGTTGAAAAACAGATTCCGGTGTCTGCAAAGGCACCGGGCTCTGTATTACCACCCTTCAACAGCCACCGCCATTATTTCGGCATGTGCAGTGCTCCACAACATCTGCCTGGCATCGAGCGAGCCAGAACCGGAGTCAGACTCCGACCCTGAAGAGTCAGAGTTGGAGTCTGAGTCGAGCTCGGACGGTTCTGAGCCGAGCTCGGAGAGGTCAGCGTCGGCTCCCGAGAGGCTGGCTCCTGCCGGCCCTCCGGTCGGCCTTCCGGTCGGCCTCTCGGACAGGGGGAAGGCTCTGAGGCAGCGCCTTGTCGCCCGGGTCGGAACCCGCCGCAGACGTGCCCGTGCAGAGCGCCACACGCAAGGGGTCCGCAACCACGACGGTAGTCCCGACCACCAGGGACACCGTCGGGAAGCCCCTCAGCGCCCTCGCTGCGGGGGTGCCCAGCACGGACGCCGCCAGCGACAGGGAACCTCTCGCCACCACGACTGAGGTCCTGACCACCAAGGACCCCGTCACATCCTTGCCCTCAGTGAAGCCCTCCCCTTGGAAGCCGTAAAGTGCACACTTCGCTTCCTGCTCCACAGTCATGGCCGTCCACAAGCTACATACTCTCTTCAGCTCCTACACCTTGTGAAGTTCGTCGCACAGCCAGCGTGGTGCCTCCAGGTACGTGTTGAGTGCATCGCGTTGAAATCGATACAGCCTTTTCTTTATTTTTATGAGCAGAAGGCACGAGACGCAGTCGACAGTGACAGAAACGGTTCGGAGGTTTAGTTGCCAGACCAACAGGTCATCTGGATTGCCCCTGCAAAGAACTCAGAAGTAATTTAGACTACCTCTAGAAAGAAATGCTTGTTTTTGCAGAGATTGCTTTCTTAGTTGCTGATTGAACCAGGGATATTGTTGTCATGGGCATTGTTTCATTTTACAAATGCTTCAAAGCGTCTTGCCTTCTGCTCAACTTTATTATCTCTTTAAAGGTACTTCATCAAAGTTAGGTAATTGTGTTATCTCAAGACAGTGCACATGTAGTTTGTTTTGAAAATTGCTTTATTTCTTAAAGAAAAACCTGTGACTTCATGAATAAAAATGTGATAACATGGAATGTAATATTTCATTCTTGGAAGTAAAACTGAGCATCGACTGGAACCATGTAAGCAATTGGGCAATCTTAAGTATATATCACAGATATCTTGTTGAACACTCTGGTCTTATTTGAGCACAATAGTTAAATTTCGAAAGGAAAAAAATATATATATATTCTTTGACTAGCATACCACCATATAAACACTGGACCACTTTGAAAGAATTATCACAGATGTTGCGCCGAACATTCTTATTTGAGCACAGCAATAGCAAGTTCTCGAAAGATAAAAAAATTGTTTCTGACTAAAGCAGCCGTCACTCGAGCGCTCCCCGTTGGTTCCGCCGACCCCTTCGCTGCCCCCGGCACACCCGGCTCCTCGTGGTTCGACATTTTGGTTTGAAGAAGGCGCGTAGCGCACATCCCGCATAATATTGGAACAACTTTCTCTCCAATTAATTCTTAAATTTATTGCAAAAGGGTACAAAAAAGCGGTTTGTTTTAACAACGCCCAAAAGGTTTTGATTGTTTTTCAATACTTTTACCTGTACTAGAACAGATGCGACGGCCAGCGACGCACAGGATTGGTTGCCGTTCCTTCGCTAAACGCAGGAACTGCTCCCCGCGTCGTAGCAAATCCTACCCCGTATCCCGCGCGTAGGGACGCCTCATGGAATGCGTGGCTACTTCCGCTCGTTGGTGTTTGGCTCCGGTCGTCACTGAAACGGGTGACGGGTGTCAAGTTTGCGATGACGTAGCGGCGTCAAAGTGGGCAGAGCCGCCACGTGAGTGTTGCTAGGATACGCTCCTCCTTTGCATTACGTCACTTCCATGTACCTTTTCTCAAATGTCCAACCTAGCGATCCAGGGGTGCTATTCTGGTCGCAAACGGAACCTTTCGAGTTGTGACGTATCGAGAAAGAAGGGGCGGAGCCTCAAACTAGAATGATTCTTGTTTGAGGCTCCGCCCCAACGTTCGGGTTTAGGCACGCGGTCAGCTAGAATCTGACGATCCCCCTACGTCGCGATGACGTGTCCACGCAGTTGGGGCGCAGAAATCCAAGCATTTCCCCCTGTTCTTTTTGTTATCCTCTTTCTTTCCTCCGGGACTTAGAACGAGCGAATAACGGAGAAAAGGCTACCTTCCGGAAAATGGAAGGAAACAGAGAAAAATAATATTATCTTTTTATAAAATACAAAATAAAATTTCAATAATTATGACGTAAAGTAAACTTAGCTAAGATATCTCAGCTTGTTTTCTCGAAGTCTTTCGCTACGGTCTTTGAAAACAAACATGGCGAAAACCGCGCTAACGACCTTGTGGTGTTTGTGTCTCGTTTGCGTCGTTGCTTTCCCTGCTTCTGCACGATACGGATGGCATTACGAGAAAAAAAAATATTACGTGAAGGTGCGCTGCGACACAGATCATCCTTTGTGAACCCGCCGTGAACATAAGCTGCTAATGAAATTTTCTGTTTGTCTGTGAAGGAGACTTCAAATGGATACAGAGCTGACGACGACTTTATGGTAGTATATGACAAGTCATGAGGTCAACGCAGAGTGCAACGGTTGTGAGCATTCTGTGGATGATGCAGGAAAGTTTCTTCGGGCAGTTTTAATAATGCTTTGCTCCTTTGCTCACTGCAGTCATTATGCCGGTATAATCTCCATAAGCCATGATCTTCTCTTTCGGCGTTGAAGAAATGCACGCGACGGCAAAATCTCGAGCAGTCTTTTTTATTTATTTTTATTTGCAGAATCGCTCGCGCAAAAAAAAAAACAAAAAAAAAAACGGCTTTTACGTTTTTACACGTCCCTACATAGGTACCTCGCTTTCCCATTGGTTTCATTGCGCGTGACGATTCAACGCCATTTGCCATGGAAACGTTCGTGAAACTATAGTCGGATGCAACCTGAGAACAATCTTTTAGCTCCACCCACAAGCGCATTGCGCCCATCTGAAGCGCCTCCGCCGTCGAGAAAGTAGTTCGGTAGCAACGTTGCTTTTTCTTCCTCCAGGAAACGTGTCTTAAACTACTACAATATTTATTTAATTCATTCAGGAAATTTAAATAAGTTAGAATACGTTTTTGTCAACGAAATAGCTGTTTAGTAAAGAAAGAAAGTCATGTCCAATGTACCGTCTTCCCAATTCATTTTCTGTCCAAGATACTGTCTAAGTATCTTGGACAGTTTGCCGCTAACAGTCATTTTTCGAGTTCGGGTTGTGACGACAAAATGACGTAAGAACAAGAATGCACGGGACTATTTGCATTGTTTTAACTCGACAACCGTACCCTTGGCGAGTTTAAGTCGAAAGAACATGGCCGCGATGCTCGTCGGATCGACCGCGGCTGGGGTTTGACATGCGATCGGTCACTTGATCAACGCGCACACGAATACTTTCGTACTGTTGGATGAGCCCATTCGGCGGCAGGACCGGGTCGAAGAGCACAATGAACTGGCGTTTAACGTCTCCGATGTAACGCTTGGCGAGATGCAAGACTTGGCTTCTATTTGTGCCGGTGTTATGAAGCTTGAAAGTGGTGGTGTTGTTGTGGCTCGTACGGTAGCGTTGCTGGGATTATGAAGACGGTAAAAGACCTTTATTCAGCGTTGCCGTGCATTAAGATTCAAAACCTCACCTTGACACAAAGTGAACCACGTTTCCACGGGCACGGAGGCAGCAGCCAACGGTCTGAGAAAGAATTGTGCCGCCGCCACGACCGCCAGCGATCGCCCCAACGGCAAGAAAACAAGCGACAAGCTCATTGAGGTTTGTGTAGTGCTGACTACTGATTCATCGGACGACAAAGGTGAATGATGTAAAACGCAACGTAAGTTTGCCAGCGTTTTGCAAAACGAATTCATGTCATTGAAAATTTAATTTGTGGAATTCGTTAACGCCTTGAAAGTTTGACGGGGACCGCATTGTGAACGCAGGCTTCACACAAGTGTTTTCTACAGTGTGTGCTTTGGCTGCATGCATATAAAGACAAAAACACTGCCTACATGGTGCATAAAATAAAAGAAATTTCGTTTATCTTGATAATGTTGACTATCTTTTGAGTGCTGTTGATAGTAGTGGCGTAGCCAGGAACTTCTAAGGGGGTGAGGATGGAGGGGGGTTGAGGTGGCTGGGATGTTCATGACTTGGGGTGCAGGGGGATGGTGTCGGAATTTGTGTGTATATTCTAGGGCCCGCCGGATTTGGGGAGGGAAGGAGCGTAGCCCCATAAACCCCTCCCCCCCTGGCTTTGCCACATAAGGGGAGCATCCTACATTCACAGGCTGCTATAAGCATGTGCATAGCCACTGAGTTCGTACCACAATGGCAAGATAGTTGCTGACATTCTTCACGTTACGTAGCAGTTCTTTCTTTAGTACATATGCTCGCGTTTCCTTCACACATCTACTCTGCCTCCGCTTGTCGTTTATGCTTGATGATGATAAGCCAACAGTGC